AGAAATCAAAATTAGGAATATTTTGCCAATACAAAAAAGGAAATTGCAAAACTACACTTGAAATGCATTATTTTGCTTGTTCTGATGGATTTACAACTAATTTCCGGAATTTTTGAAAATTTGATAAGTTTTGTCAAGGTAAAGCTAAAAAATTACTGAATAGATTAATTAATTTCTCACAGATAGGGTGCCTAAATTGAAAAAACTGTGTCAAAACAAAGTAGAAAATCGTCTAGAAATAAATTGTTTTCACTTTTTTCTTTGTATTTAAAGCGTTTTTCATCGAAGAAGTTTTCATAGAAATTTTTTTATTAAAAAACTAAGCATATTTGAGATATTTAGTGCCAAAATATAGTAGAAATCGTTGAATTAGGTCTGAAATAAACTTTATTTAGAATTAGGACTAAAATCATTGTCCCTTAATTCTATAAATTTAGAACTTTTTTCACCGAGAAATTTACAAAATTTAGAAGTTTTTTTCAGGGGGAAACTCAAATATGAAATAAATATGTCAAAAATATTTTTTTATGAAAATAATTCAGAAAGGCATTTTATTTTGCTTATTTTGGCAAAATAGAGCTTTTCAGCCAAAAACTCCCAATATTTTAGTATTTCTAACAAATTAGAAATGAATTATTTTCTAAGATTATGAATATTTTTATTGAAAAAATCAAAGAAAGAAGAAGAAGAAAGTCAAAATTAGTAGTATTCAGGTAAAACAAGAAACGAAATTGCAAAACAACATCTGAAATTCATTATTTTGCTTGTTCTGATGGACCTATAGCGAATTATAGGGAAATTTTCAAAATTTGATAAATTTTGTCAATGTAAAGCTAAAAAATTGCTTAATTAATAGATTAATTAATTTCTTACAAATAAGCTGCCAAAATTAAAAAAAAACTGTGTCAAACATAGTTGAAAATTGTTTCGAAAGAAATTATTTTCACTTTTTTCCTCGAATTTAAAGCGTTTTTCATCGAAGAATACAAAAATTGAAAAGATGCTAACATAATTGAGCAAAAAATTGCGAAATCAAGCCTAAAATGCCTTGATTTTTCAAGTTGTGATATTTGGAGGGTTTTTACTTACTAATTTCAAAATATTTTGCTAAAATAAAGCAGATAATAAACTTCTATAAAATTATGTCTGAAACGGTTTTACTTTACTTATTCCGTTGAATTTAGTGCGTTTTTCAGATAGAAAAATACATAATTTGCCAGATTTCGTAAAAACAAACCTACAAAATTGGCAAATTTAGATAAAAAATGCGTTATTTTGTAACAAAAAACTTTCTAAATTTGAAATATTTTTCAATTCTTACCATGTAAAAATAATAAAAAAAGTGTTATGCAGATAATTCAAATTTTATTTTAATCTCAAGTCTTTTGATGTGATTTTAATTTGGAAAAACCTTTAGCTGGAAATAAATCAATAAGGAAATTTTTTCATTAGAATGATAGCTGCAGCTCTAAAATTTTGATTGTAGCCATATTCGTTTAGATCCTGCTCAATAAAAATATTTTCAATATGGCAGCACTTCCGGTTACACCGGAAATGAGTATCAACTTCGTAATTTTAAATTGATAAATTTTGAAAGCAAAATTGAAGTCACTGTTATTGCAAAAATGCAAATTTGGTGTGATTTTGAGTAAAAATTTTTAGAGTATCAGTCCGGGTTTGGTAGC